AGAAACTGCTGGAGTGAAACCCGGAGTTGAAACAGCAGCAGTAGAAACTGCAGCAGTGGAGACCACAGCGGCAGCAGCAGTAGAAACTGCAGCAGTGGAGACCACAGCAGTGGAAGCGGCGGCGGTGGGAACCGCAACAGTGGGATGTACAAATAATTGTGTGTACATATATATTGTCAAAAAGAGCTGCCCGGTAAAACGTAGGCAGAGAGGGAGAAGAGTACTACAAAGGAGGGGCTGTGACAAACTGTTTCGTCGGAGTTTCACCGACTCATCAGGAGGCTGTACAAATAATTGTGTGTACATATATATCATCAAACAGAGCTGCCCAGTAAACCGTAGGCAGAGAGGGAGAAGAGGACAACAAAGGGGGGGCTGTGACAAACTGTTTCATCGGAGTTGCACCGCAAGCCCACTGGTTAAGTACCGCTTTCTCTGATGGAGACTCATCAGGAGGCTGTACATATATATTTATGCGTACAAACAACCATATGGGGCACGAATACCGCAGACCTGGAAATGAGACACCAGAGGGTGCAAACTAGGTCAGAGGGTCCCCTAGAAGTACATTTTGTATTTTCCATTTTGATGTTTTTTCCCCCTTGAATTCGGTTAACAATTTTGACATGACCCTCAGCCAAAGTGGCAGGCTGCCTGGGGACCGCAGCTTCCCTTCTTGAGGTGGTATTATCTGTCCTCGGACTTTTTCACATTCCACGTTTCTTCTTGTATCATATGCTTGTCAGTGTGTGTGTGATAAGCACCTGGACTGACACCCCCAGAATAGGAGCAGTGTCAGTTATGGGAAAAAAAAAAAAAAAGTCGTTTGGATTCTTGCAACACGGCACAACATTATTTGTTTTTCCCTACGTAGCACCGTATTTGCGTTCAGAGGCAAACACGAACATGTTCGCCCGAACGCGAACAAGCGCCCAAAACCCTCCGAACAAAAAAAAAAAAAAAAAAAAAAAAAAAAAAAAAAAACATTATCAGAAAAATATGAAAAGAATATATGTTATGTAAAAAAAACAATACAAGCAACTTTTGCCTTGGAGTCATGTTCAAATTCGTAGCCAGTCACGAGTTAAAAATCAAAAACCAATTTTTTATTTTACTTTTTTACGAAGAAAAAAAATGTCCGCCCGAACATGTTCGCGAGCTGTTCGCACGAACGGGCGAACACGTTCGCGCGAACGTGAAGGGGCGCGAACACTTTCGCCTTGCTACGCAGGTTTTTTTTTCCCCAGAACTGTGTTTTTTTTTTTTACCAGTTCTCAATTTATGTGCGTGTCATCCTTGCGCAAGGGCCATGCTAATGCTAATCTTCACTGCATTGTTCCAATGTTAACGAATCTCCCAAAGGACAGAACTGTATGTTTTCTCCAAAACCGAAATTTGAAAAAAAAAAAAAAAGGTTAAATAAATGAAAGACTTCAAAGCTTAAACATATGTGCCGGGACTGATCCAAATGCCCAGATCCCAGACCCCAGACCACAGGCTTTCTGGACCATGGTCCAAGGCCCCTGATGGTAGCCAAGGTATGTGTACATGTATCAGATATTTATATTTTCCATATTTATATTATTCACAGATCCATGCACGTGTCTAGCATGTGAAACGCAAATTGTCACCAGAACTAACTACCCCTTCTCGACCTTCTTGACCCAGATGCTCGTAGATCCGAAACTGACAGTCTTCCCTTATAATCTTATATCAAGTTGTATGTGATTTCAGGAAAGAAAAGGTAACAATATGTTGATAAGTGTAATGTTTTCAGCTTTTGACAGAACCACTGTTTCGTCGTTGTATTTTGCAAGGTGCGAGGCCCACAACATATGCCAGTGTATTTAAGCATGCGATGCATAAACACCACCTGCTTGCCTTCCATCACACCTGCACCTTATTTTTCTCTCTCTGATGTCCGTGCGCACATGCGTCCCTTTTGTCCCTACTCCCCACCCCTGAAAGTCGCGTTACCACCAGTGTCAAACACATTTGATGAGCATCCAGCATTCATTGGCATGTGTCTTTCCAACATCAGGCCCATGTCCACAGTACGCAGCACGACTTCTACCAATAATGAAAGAAACACAGGAAGTTGACCACAACATGGCTATCTTTTCTTTTTTGGTCGGCGGCTGGTCAAATACAAAGGCCCTTTAGGGCCCAAATTTCCCATGTTGTACTAAATTACTTACAGAGGTATGCATACACTCTAGGAATACCTCAGGATAAACACCCATCCAAACAACTCCAATTACAAAAGGTAAAAAACATGAAAATTCTCGTCTGTTTAAATCAGAGAACTTGTGAATGAAATACGGCTTGAAATTTCCAAACACAACACGATTATAGAGCACCGCTCGTGTTCTGACAAGCAGCAGGCTAAAGACTGTGAGATCAAAGACGCAAATGGCTGGCTATTCCAGAGGTTGAAATGAAAGATTGCTTCCAGAGGTTGAAACACGGAAATGAGCATTTCATATTTTCAGAGATGTGGAAGGCCGCAAACCTACTAAACTTATTATTCCCATCCAAATAAATGCGGCCCTTTAATTCAGAATCGCCGGCGGAAAGCATTTGCAAACAGCCATTGTCCACAATACAACGAATACAAACACAAACCAAAGTTTCACGAAGGTGTACAGAAAGAATAGCCAAATACCTAAGCAACAGAGGAATGGAAACAAGGTCCATGCGACTCTGCATCGCAAGAAACTTTGACGATGCTCCCCATCATCTTTAAATGTATTACCACTACCTTGACTCCCTCTAGGAAACCTGCCATTAGCATAGAAGTCCTTCAAGAGGTGGTCCTTCTCCTGATAAACCTTGTACAGCCAAGCGGATGCCTCGTCTTCATCTGCAGGGATACTCCTTAATTCCACTCGTTTCACATGGATATGGACCTCGCTTGGGTTTCTTCCAAAAAGGATCTCCAAGAGTGTCGGATCTGAGTTCCTGTAAGCAATCGTCAGATCATACACTGTGCACAGCGAAGTCATAAAGCAATTTTGGCACATGTCAGACCATAAACTGTGCACAAACAACTCACAATCATTAATACACTACACCGCCACATAAAGAAAAAAAAAACTCCACTTCAGACAGCTGATTCAGATTCATCCTCATCATCTCTCTCTCTCTCTCTCTCTCTCTCTCTCTCTCTCTCTCTCTCTCTCTCTCTCTCNTCTCTCTCTCTCTCTCTCTCTCTCTCTCTCTCTCTCTCTCTCTCACACACACACACACACACACACACACACACACACACACACACACACAGAGGAGGGTGTGGGTGTCAGATCAAATCCGTGTATAGAGTACCTGCTGGGCCCACAGAGGAAGGCATGGGCCAACAGTTCGCCTGGTGGTGTGAGCCCTCCCGTACTGCGCACTGTATGCGGTTCAGATGGGACTCTATTTCCCCCTCAGGCTGCTGCGTTTGTTGTTCGCCGGGCAAGGAAGAGGGGAGTCCGCCTGGAGTTGCAGTAGGTGTGTGCCCAAATCACATGCGGTACATGCTAAAAGAGGATGTGGCGGATGATGGCAGCGGGGATAGTCCACATGGTAGAGAGACAAACTTTTGATGACAGCTTCCTGGAAACATTGATGACACATGGCATGCTGCTGACATGGCAGTAGGAACGCAGGCTGACATGCACAGCTATTTAAACATGGCAAGTGTGTGTTTTGAATTTTCACCAGAACAACCCTATTGCACCCAGATGAGTAGATCCCAAAATTGAAGCAGCTTTAGTCCTACTGCAGATAACAAAAGCACTTGAACTGAGGCAAACCAACAACGAAACAGTCAACCTTTATAGCAAGCAACGGGGAGCAAAAAATAGAAGCATTTAAATCCCTTTCTTAGCTGCGTTTACTGTGGCTTTTCGGGGTACCCATTTAATTTGTCCTTGCAACTCCCTTTTTACTGTGCCTCTCATGTACAAGGTTCGCCACGCTGATTGTGGTTGAGCGCGAGCTGCCCACATCCCCCTGTGCCATAACGGCCCACTTGCACATTATGAAAGGAGGCAGAGTGAAGGCAGAGGTATATTCCTGTTCATTTTCCTCAGATCTTCTGCGTATATTTTGTCTGTTCTCTTAATGATGCTCATCCATGCGCATTCACTAGTAGTACAGAAGAGGAGGGAGGAAGGAAACAGGAGGTGAAGTTCTCACAGGGTTCTCAATGCTCACCACTGGAGCAGACTACTTTAGAATGGCACATGAGCCAGTCAGTGTTTGGGTTGCAGAAGATTTGGAGCTGAGAAGCAGCTGTTGCCTAGGGTAAGCCCCACCCCTGCAGACTGGACAGGACCGGTTCGGGTATGGACTGTGGAGGCACCGCATACAATTCTCTCAGCTACAGTTGCTGCATCGAATGGCACGACGTAGACAGATGTCACGGGCCATGTGGCCCCTACATGCTAGGAACACAGAGGCACGCCGACCGCAATTGTAGAGGCATTGCCGTTCCAGGCTTCCAGCCCCTGTCTACAAATTGGACACGACATGTCAGGGTGTCATACATCAGTGCAGTATTGACTGTCATCATACATACGAAAAATTAAAAACTCGCATGGGCTATCCCTTCATAATCCTCACGGCACAAGGCATGCGAACCACATGCTATCCGAATCTCAGGTGGGTCATCAAAGAGTGGCATTGAGCAGGTTTCCCCAGTATTTATTTCTTCTCTATGGGCAGACTACGATGGGGATTGATCCAAAGCCAGGGTGTTTAGCTGCTGCAGAATTTGGTCTGCAACAGCTCGCCCTGGTGGTGATAACCCTTCAGTACAGTGCTCTGTAGGTGGTTCATATGGTAGTCTATTTTCCTTCTCAGGCTGCAGCATCTGTCGTTCATCTGGCAAGGATGAGGGAGATCCTACTCCCATTGCAGAAGGTGTGCGCCCCACATTGCATGTGGGACATGCTAAGAGAGGGTGTGGTGGATGATGGCATCGGGGATAGTTCACGCAGCAGAGACACATACATTCTGTGACAGCTTCCTGGAACCATTGACGACACATGGCATGTCGCTGACATGTCTGCAGGAAAGCAGGCTGACGTTCACAGCTATTTAGGCATGGCATGTCCAAGCCACGACGGCATACCGAGCAAGTCAGTAGGGAGGAAAGCAGGCTGGCGTTCACAGCTATTTAGGCATGGCATGTCCACTCCACGACGGCATACCGGGCAAGTAATCAGGGGGTGGGAGGGATGAGTACAAGACAAAGCGTCACATTTTTCGCGACAGAGACTGGCAGTGACAATCCCTTCATAGTGTCAAAGCAGAGACTATGCGGTGTGCATGCGAACCGTACTGTAACTGCATGACGAGAGAATGGGATGGCACACCCACCGTCCTCTGAGAGGCCCCTTCACTGTCCGTGGTAGACTGCGTCCGATCTACACAGGCAGGGGAGGCTACCTGGTCATGCATAGGGGAAGGAGGTTCAGCCGGATTTCTCTCCGGAAGCTGAAGAGCTTGCGAGTGCACAATGACAGAGTGTTCCTGATGGACAAGCCAGACTGAGTGATATTCTACCACTTGGTGATAGAAAAGAGTTAATATTTTCCGCTCACCTACCGCCATTGTCGAATAGGATTCATGAATTGTCTGCAAAGGTAAGAGCACTGAAACGATCTGAAGACGTAGGACGTAGGCATGAATATTCCGATCCATGCCCGGCATGTGATTCTGTGGAGCAGGCTGGAGTTGATGTGTGTGTGTGTGTTGTATGTGTGTGTGACAAGCTTGCTAGTGGCAGTGCGTGCGCCCACAGGGTCCATGATCTGTCTCTTATACACATCTAGATGTGTATAAGAGACAGGTGATACTGTGGAGCAGGCTGGAGTTGATGTGTGTGTGTCTGTCAAGCTTGCTAGCGGCAGTGTGCGCGCCCGCTCTCTTTTAGTAGCAAGTACGCTCCATAATCCTGGTTTGCATTCTGATGCAGGACTCGGCAATCGGGAGAAGCACGTGGCAGAAGCGACTATTTACAAGCTGTCACGTCCTTCCCTCTTGGCTGTGCATGCCTGCTAAGTGTGCACCGTTCCTCTCTAGCAAAAGTACTCCGCCTCTCTACGCAGTGCGCAGATTTGAACTCTTTCTCCCCTCCCACCTAGCACATGCACATACCTGGTGAATCCGAAAGCATCAGAGAACAATCACGCTGATGATATGCTAGCTGCCTCTTTTTTTTTCCTTTTTTGGGTGGGGTGGGGTGGGGGGGGGCAGGAGGGGAGGGGACAATGCTCCAATATATTCGTGGGGAGCCACATGTGCTGGGAACCGGGCACAGCATCCCATTTGAAACATATTTGAGAACATATACCGAAGAAGTTGAGATACTGGGGCCATTACCCGGCTTTGGCTGAAAATAGGATCATGAGCAATTACTAGCTTATTCGACAAAGGACCTCATGAGATAGGCTAAAACTCAGAAAAAGACTCTAAAAGTCGTAAGTCTGAAAAGCAATAGTTGTCCCCTGAGCTGCACGAAGGGACTATAAGAGCCTCAATCATTGTCCCCTGAAAAGCAATAACTGATGTGTGCCATCAAGTGTCCTATGCCAGCATTAGAGATTTCGATCATGAGATCATGAATGAACATCGTGCGTAACCGCGAGGAAGGGGTTGAGGATTGTAGTACAATCACGGACTTATAACAAACTTCACACATAGCGCCTGTTGATTCCCCTGAGCAGAGCCATGTCACATAAAAGGAATTTCACACATAGCGCCCCACAGATTTCACATAATCAGTTAGCTCTCTGCCGATTCCCCTGTGCAGTAAGCAAGTACATTGATGTCACATGGTGAAAAGTATTAGAAGCTAGCTCGTTTGAAGTAAGGTTCGGCAGTGTGCGCAGAAGCAGTGAGATGAAGAAGAGCCAGTGCTACTTGTTCGACTGCATGGAACGAGAAAAAAGCTCTTCATCGGGAGCTTGATGCTCACATTTCACATGGGTCCTTTCTGACTTGTGATATCCACATGGCATGAGCTGCTACTCCTACCTTCCTGCATGCCTCCCACGAAGAAGTACAACTCCACGGTGTTCAGTCCGAGTGCATCCTTACCAAACGACCAATCAATCCGCATCTGGCACAGCCAAGGGCCAGTGGCTCGCCCAATACTTTCCCACCCAAAGCACAAATGGCGTCGTCAAATTTCAGTCACACCACCGTCCATCTTTCTATTACAATCCAGACAAGTCAATGCTACGGATATTTGGGCAGGCCGCAGTAAAGAAACATTCTGGAGCTCCAACTGGAGAAACAGCACTGCGGCGCAATCTGTTAACAGCAGCAGGGCGGGAACTGCATCCCCACAACCTCCAGCACTGGCCAGAGACCATTGGGAGAGGCTGCAGCCATGGCCGGATGCGGGAGGGGAAGGGGCCATAGCTAGGAGGGATGGGTGGGAACATAACTTACTGGGAGCAGAAGAAGGTGGCTGCCATAGCTGCCATAACTACCAAGGTTGGGCTGAGGAACACCATCCGGTGCTTACCAGCACTGCCCTGTAGGGCATACATCGTTGGCAGTGAACCGAAGAGGCTTGTTGGGGGCTCCGCATTGAAAACAGAGGGCAATATTGTCTATACTTCAGCCTGCACAACCTTTAAAAATAATAATAATAATAATAATAATAAAGACCGATGCCTTCACGCTGGACAAGACTTTCTCTAGAAATGACAGGGACATTGAAGACATTTTAGAGAGTGGTAGACATAGAGAGCAGGCGGTCTCTGACAAAAAACTGATCAGTCCAACAGGCAGTGTTGTGTTGTCTTCCCTTTCAGCCTGGCGTCTCCCACAGAGTAATTGGGGCAGACGTGATCTATTTTTTATTGGGTTCAATGCAATTTGCACCGGAGTGGACTGCAGATGCATTGTGATAACAACGCAGCTGCAAATCACAGGGTTGGAGACAAAAACTGCAGTTCGACAAGCTTATATACAAGATCAAATATTTGACAACATTGGGAGGACATCATCGTGTGATGACATTGGCAATCCCGCAAGGAGCGAGGTCAAATCAGCACAGAACAAGTCTTAGGGTCGTAGCTTTTGAAAGATGAAAGTTCTAGGGTCAGGAATCGGTCCTAGGCCTACGGTCAACCATCAAACCGAGGCGGACAGGGCCTCTAGACGTGAAAGTAGGCCCTTGGAAAGTGAACAGGCAGGGCCAAACCATGCACAGACGTCAAAGAGTCGAAGATTTCTTAGGAGTCAACCTCAGCCACAGATCACACCTCGATCCGAAGGCTTCGTACAGTTTCCAAAAGCTTCCAAGGCCTGCAGGGTCAAGGTAATCACTGGGGCGACAAAATCTTGGGCATACAGTAGTTTGCAAAATCTCAGCCACACGAGACGGAAACTTGAGGCAGCCCAAACCGAGTCGAAGCAACAAATACTCAGCGCGCCCCAGGTTGTGCATTCATTCTACCTTGTGCTACTTCAAGGCTGGAGTGCCAGTGCTGCAAGAAGGTCAACAAAGACCAAGAGAGAGAGAGAGTGAGAGTGAGAGCAAGAGCAAGAGTGAGAGTGAGAGTGAGAGTGAGAATGAGAGCGAGACTGGCCATAGCTAGAAGATTCGCAATGCGCTGCACCATAGCTTCTGTGGGAGGGAAAGTGAGGTTAGGATCGAAGACATCCTATGCAGAGCGGCGCACACTGAGAGTGAGAGTGAGAGAGAGCAAGAGCGAGGGGCTTACCTGGACGTGCCTGGTGATGTTGCCACGATTGAACAGACAGTGCTTTGCTTGTGAAGGCCGGACTTGTCCGGTCCGTGTTTTTCTTCCGGCTTGGACCGTCTTATGCTTCACTGTGCCTGATTGATATCACATCGACTTTGCCAACTGGCAAGCTGTTTGTGAGAGACATACCAGCTGCACCACCAGTAGAGGGATAGGTTGACAATTGTGGGTTGGCGAGCAGGGGGAAGGCAAGACAAGACCTTGTATTCGCTGACTATTGAGCGGTAGCTAATTGGTTCAGGAGGATCGTATGAGAGGGGGGGGTGAATTACATCTCAGAGCTTGGGCCACTCAGGTAAGTGTTGTGCACCTAAGGGTGGCCCATGTGTGTGTGCATGGTACTGTATGTCCTGTTGGGGTATTTCTGGGTCTCTTTTCCTACTCCTCTACAGTCGTGATTGTGTGCATGAGCTTGTAAACTGCTTTCTCACCTGATCTATGGAGAGAGAAGTATCTTGATTCGAGTGCCATATCTTTCTACAGTGCTTTGTCTTTTTATTTCTGAACGGCTGTAGTTAGTAGGTTCTTTCTGGAGTTGAATTTCGTTTTCCAGTACAGTAGAGGCAGAAAGTAGGTCCATGTGGGCCTCCTTGTGGTTGCGACCCGGTCACGGCCTACGTGGGATCCATGGGTACCCAGTGGGACCGGGCCCAAGCAAGAAGTGTCCCTAAGGCCCAAATCTGTTGACGTCAGTCTCATTCCCTGCCTTCTGGAACTCAGAGTTTACATTATTGGTTAGAGGCTTAGAGCACTCGCTGCCGAGGGGATCTCCGTTGAGATGTTTTGCAGACTCTACCGCGCAGTCCGCCTCTTGGCTTTTTCCAACCCGACGAACGCTTTCAGCCTCACTGCACTACTCACAACGATTACAAAACATGAAAATTATAGCAGTGTGTCCTTGCCTCTCTTTCTCAGTAGTCAATTGTTCCTCCATTTGCACACTTATCTTGTCCTAATTGGCACCGGAGTGATGACAGGGCTCATTGCAATTGCCACTTAGTTGTGCATGATGTTGCTCTTCTGGAAGTTCTCTAGCTTGGACTGGTGTTATGCATGGCCACGACTGTTGTTTGTAACCACGGACCTGAAAAGTACCCAAATCACAGGTAAACTGAGCCGACTCTTGCAAGTGCTCACTTCGCTTCTTGAGCGAGTAATTGGCCACCAATTCAAGTTACAAGCACACTTTGCACCCCCCCCTGCCATGGCATTCATTGGTGCTCTGCTGTGGACTATCATTCAGGTCTACAGGGGCGGCTCATCAGTAATCTTACTGACATTGACACTAAAGGACCCTGAAAAAACAGCGGAGAAAGAGAACTCACCAGCATCAATGGAATTTCGCAAAGCCTTCAGGCAAGCTACGAACCCTTTTGTGCGGGGCAGAAGCACATGGTGGGATCCAGGAAGCCCATGTTCCTTTGCGTACTCATTGCACTTTATTTTCTTGGCTTCGCTGCGGAGAAAGCAGAGCACACCATTGGCAACCACATAGATCACAGAACCGTCAGACAAACTAGCAGTTACGGAGACTTCCGGATCAGAAATTACCACGAGACCATGATGGATCCATCATTAGCCAACATTTCGAAATGCACAGGCACTTACTTACATGAGGAGCCAGCGGGTCTGCAAAGTCTACTGAACAAACCGATCGGACCTTTATGTTGAGACCTCGCAGTTCCCTTGGCATAGGATCACAGGACTGTAGCTGGTGTATGATAGAGCCGTACAGTCTTATCAACAACGATTGCAGTCTTATCAACAGCGATTTCGTGAAAACGAACATTTTATAGTTTTTGAACGATATTGAAATCTCACGTTTTAGCAAAAATCTCATGAAACTGAGGGTACGGCGTTCTGAAAACGTCCTACCCCCTTGATGTATCTGGACTTAGCTGGAGTCCACATATATCCAGGCTGGAAAACGCCGGACCTTAGCTGGAGTCCACATATATCCAGGCTGGAAAACGCCAGACCCCTTGGATGTATGGACTTCAGCTGAGTCCAAATACATTGAGGGGGTAAAGCATTTTCTTTTTGCCGTACCCTCAATTTCATGAAATTTTTGCCAAAAAATGAGATTTCAATTTCGTTCAAAAAATATAAAATGTCCGTTTTGACGAAATCGCTGTTTATCCATAGTCAAAGAAATGATCAAGTTTCACTGCACTCTGGACAGTGAACTCAACTACGAAAGGATGTCATAGCAATTCACCTTGTAACACATTGCAATTTCGCCATTTGCCTCTGTTGCCCCTTTCTGCTTTGTGCTTTGATCCTTTGCCCTTCACTACTTCGCCGTTAGGCCCGTCATCATGTCCCACCTTGCGCTCATGTCCCTGCCAGGTTTCTGATGCATGCCCGGAGTGAGACGTTGGCAATGCAATCAAAAAGATCACCAATATGAGGAAGAGAGGCCATGTGACACACTGAAAGACTCGAATTAGACAGGACTGCCTGCCTATAAGGCGCAGGTCTGATCTCATACCAGGAGGAAGGGTTCAACCATAGAAGAATCTCCCGGCGGCAATCATACATAGACTAATGTGGAGGGAGATGGAAGAAAGAAGAAGAAAAAGAAGAAGACTATCTAGCAGCGCCAAATATAGTCTCTCCTCCACCTCTCTCCTCCCTCCCCCTCCAAAACACACTCCAACAGCGAATCAGGGAGCTGACTCCAGTGGCACCAATGTCAAGTCTCCAGTCTCTTTCTCTCTCTCAAGAGGATAAGAAGAAGAAATGTGCAATACTCTCTCTCTCTCTCTCTCTCTCTCTCTCTCTCTCTCTCTCTCTCTCATGTAGATGGTACTAACCCGTGAAAGGCAGAGCGCTGAGCCGCTGATACACTACCGGTGTGTCGAAGATGAAGACGAAGACCAGCTATGGCTGGTGGCAGACCTCCAGGATATGGCCCCAGATGAGTGGGCCCCATTACCTCACCTCTCCTCTAACCTCTACGGCGCTACTCTAACTCCTGTGACGCTGCTCCTCCACCTCCACGGCTGTCAGGCTGCTCAACTCCGCAGCCTGGTGGTCATGAATGAGCTCTCCGAACTACCTACCTCTCCTGAATAATACGGGCCGGCCACCACCCATGGTTGGCCTCATCTGGGCCATCCGGCAGACCAGACGTGAGGCAGTGTGGCCAAACCTCCGGCCCTGGCCTGAAAATGTGTGGCCTGGGTCGCTGCTCAGATCCAGGCCCTCCCTCGCTGTCTCAGCAAGAGGGCCTGGAAGGAAAACGGCCTGGCACGAGACTGACACAGGCCCAGCCTCAAAACAAGCCGGGGCGGCAAGTGTGTGCCAGAGGTCTGGATGAGTCAAGGTCCTGGGAACCTCTCTCTCTCTCTCTCTCTCTCTCTCTCTCTCTCTCTCTCTCTCTCTCTCTCTCTCTCTCTCCCTCCCACTCCCCCGGCCCCAAGGCCGTTTTGGGATGCATCTACCCAGTTTTTGGACTACATCAGTTAGACCGAATGTAGTGCGAAAAGGTGGGCCGGCTCGGGAAGCTCTTAGAGATGGTGCATGGACGTGGATGACTTGCACAGGCGTCGGACCAAGCCCACGCATTTCGAGTCTCAGAATTCGCAAATTGAAAAGAGCTCTGGGCACACCTACAAATTTCCCTGCCCAGTTTTTGGGCATGAGCATAATTGTGTGCTCCGCAACTGTGGGCCTGTGAGACCAGGTACAGACATAGGTTGGCGCACAGGACCGTGGGATGATACCTCACGTTCGACAAGATTTGGGTATAGATGCAAGTTGCGCGCTGTGACTGGGCACAGTAGCAATGCAATTTCCCCTCGAAACGAAGGACAACTCTGCCTGTTCAAACATCAGGTGACCTCCATGTGCTTGGAGCATGCTGCGAGCTGGGCGAGGAGGAGGAGCTGTGGCGGATAATGACTTTCCCAGCTACGCTGCTACACCCATAGGCCATATACAGGCAGTAGGGTAGTGGTGGTGCTGCACTTGATCAATCTGCTTTGACATGTACTGGCCGTATTAAAGGTGCAGTGAAGAAACTTCGGTGAGAGAGTCCTGGGACAGATAATGGGCATCCCACACCACTCTCGAAATGTGCAAAATGAGAATGAACTTCCTGCTAGAACATGGCCAGATGCACCAGCCACATTTGTCTTTTTCACATTTCGAGAGTCGTGTGGCGAGGCCCAATATCGTACCTTCTTCAGATCTTCATCTTCTTTGATGGCGCTCCACCTGGAGTGGTCACGTGGACTTCTAGGGCTGACTGAAAAGAGATTCGGTGTCGATGACAATATGAAGCTTGAACGGGATTTATTACTGGTTCTTCTGCGAGTACTTGCTGGAAGAGCGCATTGCGCTACATTCTTCGTGTCATGTGAATGGTATACTGCACTTGGATTCTTTACTCATCAATAACCAAAGGAGGAGAGAAATCAGAGATGGAGGAGAGGAGGAGAGGAGGAGAGGAGGAGAGGAGGAGAGGAACACGAAGGTGATCATTGATGCTATCACGAGTCAATGACTTGATTTGTCTTTTTCTCTCTTTCCCCATCAACGACCAGAAGAGGATGAGAGTAACACAAAGTTGATGATCGATGCTATTACTACTCAATGATTAGATTTGTCGTTTTCTCTCTTTCCCCATCATTCTCTTCATCCTTCTCCCGGGCGATGCTGCGCTGCTCATGAAGATTGGGAATGTGCTTTCTTTCATCACTCAATGACGAGGCAAGAGTCCAAATGATGATTCTCCAGTACCGGTGGCAGAGAGTAGCGTGGCGTGCCTGCACGGTCTAAGGGTCTACATGCCCTTCCCCCAACTGGCGCAGTTGTTTTTTCTAGCAAAACGCGCCCAACCAAATAGCCATGGGGCCTCGAGGGACGGAAGTGCACGAGTACACGTGGGCTTTTGCTATGTGGCTGCGTGCCAAGGCTGAAGGGATTGGCCCACTGAACTATGCGAACGTCGTTTTTTCATTGGGAAATATAAAAGCCACAATCAGATGGCGAAATAAACTCCCAAGAACAGGATAAGGATTTGGATTTGGATTTCGAAATATAGACATGGTTCGGTGAGCCCTGCCCCTATGCTACTCTGGTAGCTAAGGAGGGTAACCCTTCCAATGACTGTCTAATGCAGAGAGAATGGGTCCATTTCCAGATGACTAGCACCCTCCTCCTGAAACTATCCGTAGCTAAGGAGGGTAACCATTCCAATGACTGTCTAATGCAGAGAGAATGGGTCCATTTCCAGATGACTAGCACCCTCCTCCTGAAACTATCTGACCGTGATTCAGGCCAGACCTGGATGTATCTAACCGCAGTTACGTCCAGGAGCAAGTAAAGACATCCCACCTAGTGTGAGTATGCCCTTAGCCATGTGGTTCACACTACTGTCTAAAGGCCACAAAGTCGCTCAAAGACCAAAACTACTTATTTCACATATGGATGCATGCATGATGGATGCACGGATGCATGTATACATGGGTGCATGGATGGGTTCAAGCATCCATGGGCGCTATACAGACTGTATGGATAACAGGCCCAGGCCAACAAAACATGGCCTGCGAAGTGCACCAAGCCCAGGGATCCCACGGATCTGATGCGTGCGGGCGGTACCGAGCCAAGCCATGTCTGTCCCACGCCTCTACATTCTCAGACTCGACTCCGCAGCATGATCCCTACGCGACGGCCGTGGAGCGGATATCTATAGGGGGCATGAACCTGGTCTTGCATCCAGCATAAATAAAAACGTCTTGCGCCGACCGTGTGCGGATCAAATTCCGCCGAGAGTCTATACCGGGCTGTGCACGACCTGACCGGATCCTAGGCATAGATCAGCTTCAGGTCGGTGGATCGTGTTCCGCACAACCTGAACATAGTCGCGCCTGCAAATTTCGAAAGCTGATCTATGCCGAGGACCTATGCCGGCTATGCTCCTCGTCTGTGTAGAGGACAGATGTGATCGCTGATTCACTCGTTTTCAATAAATATCGTCAGAGGGACTGCCCCGCGCGCAACAGACACCGGTGGCGTGGATGGCGCCTCAGTTGTGGACGACCCTCTCCACGTGCGTATGGAAAACGAGTACCATCATCCTCTCGCAAAGCGGAAGCGTACTTCAACACGCGCTCCACCTTCGGGATAGTCCCGGGGTGAGTGCGTACGCCCTTCTTACTCCACCGTTCCCTGACGGGAGCTTTCACCACCATCATCACCATGGCACCCCTTCTCCCCATCATCATCACGAACCATATGCGTGATTCGACAGCTCCTTCTGTCTACCTATCGGGGGCGAACATCATCGTTGTCGTCCATTCCTGTCATATGTCACCCCACACGGAGATGGTGGAAAGATGACAGTGGTTGAAAAGAGAATTGTCCTCATCATTCACCATCATCAACTGACGTCATCACTATCGTTGTTCTCCTTCCCGTCGCCATACTGAATGATGATCATCATTCTGCTCTTCGTCTACTTGGCTGTCACGGAACACGTCAATCGCTCCATTGCCCTCGTCATTTTCCTCCTCCCTCTTCTTCTTCTTCTTCTTCTTCTTCTTCTTCTTCTTCGTCCACCACCGTTGATGACCTTCCCTACGCTGATCGGGAAGGAAGAAGAGCGAGACTGCCGCTTGTCTCGTTTGACGTTCGGCTACTGCCTTGAATTGGCGCAATGCCACAGACTGAACGCCCATGGACATTCGCACGTCGCGCTGCAGATCATGTACCTGGCCGTCTGAGAGTGGCAATCTTGAACTATTATCATTTCGACAGAACGTCCACGTGCATTCCGACAGTGGCAGTCCATTTTCCCCCTCTTCCCTCATCCTCATCCTCCGTTCTCCTCCCCCTTCTCCCTTACTCCATGCTCCTCCTTCCCTTTCCTCCGCTGCTCCTCCCTTTCTCAGTTCCCTTCTGCTTGTTCGTCTCCTTCACCGCTCTCTTGCCATATGCAATTATCGTCATCGTCTTCTTCTTCATCCCTTGTTTTCAACCAGTTTCCGAAATCCAGACTCCTACCTCGCCCCGCTTACTCTTTCGAGCCACATTTCTTCGTAGAGGCTCGAGCAGAAAGGTATGGCCATCATCATCATCATCAGCAGCAGCAGCAGCAGCAGCAGCATGTCAATCATCACCATCATCATCATGTCGGCAGCGATGTCAAGACAGCAACAAGGTCGAAGATTAACACCCTGCGGCAGGTCATCGTCTCTAACACCCGCCTAACTTCGTGTAAACTCCCAAACACTACTATTTGCCATGCCGCCTGAGGCACTGCGACTAGGAAATTAGAGGGGCTGCAGAGCGCCGTACCAACAAGTACCAGAGCGTTGTACCAACAAGTACCGGAGCGTTGCACCACCAAGTACCAGAGCGATGTACCAACCACGTGTTCGCTTTCTTCACAAGGACTACCGCGCAGCATGGCTCTGCCTTCTCCTCTCACACGGCATGCCTCGCATTCGACCCCCATCCAATCTCGTCGTCCTATGGCCACGCCAGCGCCAGGTTTGTATTTTCTCAATGCTGCGTGCCCGGTAATTGACCGACACTTGCAGGAGGTCGCTGCAATGACGTACGAAATACTGATGACGATCGAAACAGCGCTTTGGTTCACCATCGGCTCGGTAATTGCTGTGCCCGCTTCGCTCCACTAATCGTGTTCCCTCCTAGTCCACTCCCTCTCCTGTCCCTTCCTCAACCTCCCATGTCCCCCCAAAAGCTCTTCTCTCACCTTCCTACTCTAGCCTCCCGCTTTTCTTTCTCCGCCTCGAACCTCTTCATTCGTTCTCTCCGTGCGTCCAATTATCTTGTTCCCTCTTAGTCCACTCCCTCTTCTGTTCTTTCCTCAACCTCCCATTTCCCTCCCCTTTTCCACCACGAACCCAAGCTCCTCTCTTACCTCCCTACCATTGCTTCTCTGCTTGCCTTGCTCCCTCCCCACGCTTCCGCATCCTTTTCTATTTCCATGGTTAATTTCCATGATGGCTATTGAAAGCAACCTAATATTGCATGGCTTCCATGAATGTGCGCAAAGACCGTTCAAGCCCACCGTGGACCTCTTCTTCTCAAACCTGACAGAGTAGTAACGAGCGGCAAACGGCGGATGCAACCAACGAAGGAAAGGAGGCCGGACGATGTAGAGAGACGCGAGGGGAAGACAGGCGAGAGGAAGAGCAGGAGAACCGAAGTGGAGGGAGGGACAGCGAAGAGGAGAAGGGAGGGACAGGGAAGAGGAGAAGGGAGGGACAGTAAAGAGGAGAAGGGAGGCAAGGAGGGAAAAGAGACGAGGGTTAGAAATGAAATGGTATTACTTAATTACCTGAAATCCGTTCCTTCAGGAAACATGCAAAGCCAGATAGGACTCCGTCGATCGCTGAAGCCTTCAAGGTGTTTGGCTATGGCGAGGCGGTCGTCCTCCCACTTCCGTTCCAGAAACAGGAACTCGAGCATATGAAAAGCCCAGCCGAAAACGGGTACACTCCTCAACTGACTTTTCATAACATACTTGATCCATCCGAGGGCCTTCTTCCTGTAAGCCAAGTTCCACAGAAACATCCAATCTACCTCCGTCCGGTGATTACAAATGACAATCGTGCTTTCTCCGTCCGGCACATGCTCGCCATCGAAGACCAGGCTAATACCATTGATTTTCTCGAAGAAAAACACCCACAAACACAGCCAAAAACCAAATATAAACCCGGTTGACTTCCTACTTAATGGCACACTGACCAGGCGAAACAGATAAGCTGTAATAGGGGCAAAAAAGCAAAGACTCAATATAGCACTAAGTACCAAGGTCAATCCCACAAACAACCCAATCAAGACTCTAATCGCGGAGAGAGGGCGTAGAGGAGAACCAACTGGGGCATGGACCTGTTTCTCCCTTTCAGGAAACGAACATGGGCTCCCGTTTCTCGTCATCCTCTCCTTTCCTTCCTGTCCTTTCTCACTCCCCAAGGCAACCTTCCCTGTGTCCTCCCGACAAACACCTCTCGTGTCATCCAAGCAGATTGCCTCTCTCACCCATGACCTCGCGCACGACCGATTTCCACGACGGCAGGCGCGGCAGTGTCGTGCATCTTTTCCTGTCCTGCTCGCAGCTCGTGCGGAACTCGCGACCCATACTGCCTCCCTCGACTACTCACCAACATATGTGCAAAACGGAATTTCGCAGCCCGTAGGAGAGTCGTTGAATTGCGGGCAGGGGCTTTCGAGGGGCAGGGGTCCTTGCAGGCGCAGGACCAGTATTGGCCGCGGTGCTGTGAGAAAACCGAAACGGTGCGCGGCCTCGTCCTGGTTCTGTGAAAAAAACGAAACGGCACGCGGCGCCCAGGGCCCGGAACTCAAAAATTTCGAAAGGCCCCACTTCGAATAGAACGCAGGTCCCGTATATCGAACACAACACGTGTTTTCTACTCGAATACCGAAAAGAANGGAACTCAAAAATTTCGAAAGGCCCCACTTCGAATAGAACGCAGGTCCCGTATATCGAACACAACACGTGTTTTCTACTCGAATACCGAAAAGAAAAACTATTGTATTCGGACAGAACATTCCCTTTCTTTTCTTTCCTGGAACTCAAAAATTTC